TTTTCTCTTTTGGTAAAAACCCGCCCAATTCTAGACCGGTTTTGGGCACCGGTTTAGGCTGAACCGGTGCTATGTGGGGGGTGCCTAATGCTTTTTTTCTACTAGTGTACATCTCCATCAACATAACTAACTCCAACAACAACCACAAAATACAACTCTAATCATCATAAACAATCCCAACACTTACAATAATCACTCATAAAAAAATATGATAATGTAGAACTTTGAGTGAAAAACAAACTTTGAACTCATTCTTTTTTTTTCCTTTTTCAACTTGAATTTTTTTTTCTTTTTTTTTCTTTGAACAACCTTCCAATAGAACATTTGAACATTAAAATTTTTTCTTTTGCTCTTTTTTTTCTTTTTAACTCATATTGGAAATTTCAACTTTGAAACACAACATTAATATTTTCAAATAAAAAATCAAAGAACAAATACTCTTCTTTTATTCCCACATTGTGCAAATAATATGCACACCACAACTCCCTCGCCTCACCAACTAATAGCTCCCCCAAACCAAGCTTGGGACTAGTAACCAATGGGGCTCATATAGGCTTGTAATGTGGCTAAATAAACAATAAAAGGACACAAGCAACAACATGGGTAACAAGAAGGGAACAAATGTATCTAAATACTCTGAAGGCTACCTAAAAGAATGAACGCCTTCGTCCTCCTCATGTGCATAATATTAAGTCATGAAACACTACTCATAGTTGCAAATCAATACTCAAATTCATTGACATACCAGGAATTATGGAACTATCACACATTTCCTAACCAAATCAACTAGTCAAGCACTATATTCACAAATAGTTGGCAAAATTGACTCATGTTTAGTAATCCAAGAAATTAAACTTCAAATCATGACCAACAAATCCACAACGCTCATTATCAATAACCAAGAATCAAAACAAATTTTCTCAAGTATGGGGCACATGGAAGCATGATTTACAATTCATTGGAACGTATTTTTGAATTTTTTATTTTTGAATTTTTCATATATAAGAAAGCAATAAAAACTACACTAGGAAAGCAATAAAAACTATACTAGAAAGCAAATAAAAAGAGAAAAGGAAGAGAATTACCAAGCGAAAGAACACCCCCCCAAGCCAAATCAAGCAATGTCCTCATTGACTTGGGAGTGTAGCCTACTCCTCATCCTCATCCATCCTCGAATAGCCCCCTCCGTGGCTAGAACCGGCTCCTCCATGGCTAGAGCCACCACCTCCGTAACCCGAACCACCTGCAAAGTAGTTAGGGTCCACATTCCCCCAAGCCCACCAAAAGGTAAATCGGTCCCATAACCATTGACCGATGAGTAGTCGACATAGGTACCGTAGGCACTTGGGTTCGTATATCCACCTTGCGGATATTGGAACCAATTGGGAGCAAGTGAATCGGGGGGAATAGCCCCCCGACGGGCATAATCATCATACATGGGGTATAAGCCCCTCCCTAAGTTCGTCTCTCGACAAGGATTTGCCTCCAGAAGGTGACAAACATTATGCCATTAAATCTCACAGTGGTTTGCAAAAGAATGAACGTCCCTATGACTCTTGTAGACAATGGATCAACCATTAATGTCTGTCCACTTAGAACTATGAGAATGTTAGGCATAAGGGATGAAGACCTAACCCCGTCAACGCAAGGAATAAGAGCCTATGACAACACTTGTTGTCAAGCTCTTGGTAAAATTACTATGAATATAACAGCGGGAGCGATAGAACACGCTACTACGTTCCAAGTAGTAGATATTAAAGCTTCGTTCAATCTATTGTTGGGAAGCCCTTGGCTTCATGACCTAAAGGTTGTCCCCTCATCTCTCCACCAACAAGTAAAGGCTATAGTTGGAGGAATTCCCATTATGATAGATGCTTCACCTATGAGAATTAAAGCTAAAGAGAATCCAATAATTAATGTGGAGCACGATGAAGACGATGAAGAATTGTGGGGTTTTAATGAAGAGGCCTCCTTAATCGAGGAGGATGAAATGACCCCTCTCTGCCACGACCCCCACTCCAATATGATCGTGAACGCTATTCTGAAGAAGCAAGGACATTTTCCTAGGATGACCCTAGGAAAGAAGAAATGAATAGAAAAACCGCTGGAATCACCTGGCCTCCCTAAATTAGACACTTTCGGACTTGGTTTCGAACCGACTCGGAAAGATCTCCAGCGAGCCCAGGAAAAGTCAAAGGCACGTAGGGACGCTCGCATCCAAAAGAAAGCAATCCCAATGGATTAATATCCTCTTACCTTTAATGGACAATTTATAAAAGAAGGAGAGGACTATCCATGCTATGAATTTCCCAAACCATTTGTCGTAAATGGCATAAGGCAACAGGGATTCGAAATTTTCTTAGATTGCTACTTCATAGACGGAATCCCAACTCCTTCCCATAAGGAGAAAGCACCCCCATGCTTTGAATTTAATGTCATGGGATTACTATTTGGGCGAGAAAAGGATGAGCCAACATACAAATGGGATAACTCCTCGCTCATTCAGACAGTCCTACAAAGCGAAAGCTACGATCCCTCGAAGCTAATCACTCCAGCAGAAGGATCATTACAAGGGTGGCGCAAGACCGTCAAGGTGACTACTCTAAGTGGAAGGAAGATATCCATCACAACGGGGCAAGGACCGATGTTCGAAGAGTCGTCTGAGTTAGAGTCTCTCCCTATAGAGTCATCTAAGTCCTTAGTTATAGCACCTCCTCCTTCCATCTCTTCCCCTAGGACAGTTAGTGATCAAATCCCTGAGGACATATCCATCTTTGATGTAATGATCTCAGAGTTTAATAATATGGCTTCTTCTCCCTACTCCTGGTGTTCTTCTTTAACCCAAGATGATGAGCATTTCTTGACTAACAATGAAAAAGAAAAAGAACTTATTAAAGCAATGGAAACACTTGAAAAGAAAACACCGATAATTTTAGAAACTGAGACGGTTAATATCTCAAATGATTCAACTAATAAAAGAGAAGTTAAAATCGGACTAACACTTAATGAACAAGAAAGAACCGATTTAATTAACTTACTTAAAGAATTCATCGATGTATTCGCTTGGTCATACGAAGATATGCCAGGCATTAATAGAGAAATAGCTCAACACACCATACCACTAATTCCAGGAATGAAACCTATAAAACAAAAATTACGTCGAATGAAACCCGACGTAGCTCTTAAAATAAAAGAGGAAGTTCAAAAACAAATAACTGCAGGTTTCATCAAGGTATCCAAATACCCCGAATGGGTCGCCAACGTCGTCCCAGTTTTAAAAAAGGATGGAAGGGTAAGAATGTGTGTCGACTATTGAGATCTAACAAAAGGCAAGTCCAACCTTTACCACACATTGATATTCTGGTGGATAACACAACAAATCATGCACTTCTCTCGTTCATGGATGGATACGCGGGCTATAATCAGATTCTCATGGCGGAAGAAGACATGGAGAAAACAACCTTCATAACACCATGGGGTACTTACTGTTACACGGTGATGCCATTCGGGTTGAAAAACACGGGTGCTTCTTACCAATGGGCAGCGACTGCCTTGCTCCATGACATGATGCATAAAGAAGTAGAAGTATATGTGGACGATATGATTGTGAAATCAAAAGATCGCCCAGGCCATCAAGTAGCCTTAAGAAAATTCTTCGAAAGGCTAAGAAAATACAACATGAGGTTGAATCCATCTAAGTGTGCTTTTGGAGTCACCTCCAGCAAGCTTCTAGGTTATGTCATAAGCTCTAGAGGAATAGAGACAGACCCAACCAAGATCAAAGCAATCATGTCAATTCCACCGCCAAAAACCGAGAAGCAAATTCGAGGATTTATTGGCCGGTTGCAATACATAAGCAGGTTCATATCAAAATTGTCGACAATATGTGAACCAATCTTTTAAAAGCTTAAAAATAATGTACCAGTGATATGGGATGACGAGTGTCAAAAAGCCTTTGGAAAGATCAAAGCCTATCTCGCACATCCTCCCGTTTTAGCAACAACACTTCCGGGAATACCTCTTAGGCTGTATTTAACAGTTACCAAAGAGACAATAGGAGCCATGCTAGCGCAAGAAGTAGAAGGCAAAGAAAATGCGATCTACTATCTAAGCAAGAAGATGCTCGAGTATGAAGCACGCTATACACCACTAGAGAAATTGTCACTACAACAAATTGACCTTTGTGCCACGAGTAAAATCGTGGCACAAGTTTAAAATTCTCGTGGCAATGTAGTGTAGCCACGGGAATTTTGAAATTTACTCCCGTGACACAAGAGGCTGTGGCTAGGAAATTTGCCACGGGAAAATTGATGTCGTGACAAATTTTGATTTTTATGCCACGGGTATGTACGTGGAAAACAAATTCACTTGCCACGAATATTAATGTGGCTAACAAGTTCTTCGCCACAAATTCTACCGTGGCTAATAAACTTGGTTGTCACAAACATTACCGTGACCAGTAATCTTCTTTGCCACAAATATTACCGTGGCTAATAAACTTTGTCGCCGCAATATACCGTACCTAATTTATTTGTTTGCCACAAATAATACCGTGGAAAATAAATCCATTGCCACATTGCTACAGTGACAAATAATATCTCTTGACACTAATGATTATCGTAGCTACCAATTTCAATAGGCATAAGCTTTAATTTGTTGCAGCATTATCTATGATATAAGCATAACTGAATATTACAGATGGAGTTTTCCTCAAATATGTCATATTTGTCATTGCTGAAATAGATACATAACATTAAAAAAAATCATATTAATGTCTTGGAATCCCGTACATTCAAACATACTTGAGTTTGATATCCATACATACAAACATACTATAAATCAATTGTCTCATCACTAGCTCACTCTTACCAAAAAAAAAAAAAAAAGGAAAGAGAATATGTCTGTGCTCCGCTCCTTGTTACCTACAATAAATAAATAGATAAATGATCAAGTTAATATAAGCCAATCGTAATGAATATAAGCCAATCGTAATGAATGTGAGTTTTAGGAAGGCTATAAACCAATCGTAAGAGGTCAAGATTCTTTAGCTTTAAAAAATGTAACAATTGTATTGAATATAAGATAAAATGTATAATGCATAACCGGTGAAGATAGCATTACTTACTTCATTCCTTTGAACCTTGACATCCTGAATCATCAGAATCACTTCCTGCTCTAAGAAAATCCAGAAGTTGACTAAACTTCTTCTCCCAAACTGCATTATTATCAGCAATTTTTCTGTCCACATCATTCTTAACAGCTTCCGCCTCTTTTTTGGCTTGTTCAACTTCTAATTTAGCCTGTTATGCTTCTATTCTAGCATTTTCAGCTTCTTTTCTTGCATCTTCAATTGCTTGATCTGCTTTCTTTTTAACTTCATTCACCTCTTGAGTAAGATCAATTCGAGAGGTTTTTACTTTAAAATGTTGCGTAATACTTCTACCAGGTCCATATGCTTTCAAATACCCATGTGTATCTTTGCCAAGCACATCCTGAATAATTTGCTCATCTGTTTTCTCATTAAGACCTTGCTCTCTTTGTTCCTTTAATTTGTTTATCTCATCCTATGAATAAACAATATTAAGTTAGAAGATAAGATGGTAAATGTTAAATGGAAAATAACAAACATAAAACTTATAAACTTACTACTGCATGAGTGTTATTTGCCAAATTGATTGCATTCACAGCCTTCTCAGATTTTCTTGTACGAGTTGCAACCAATACATCAACTCGAGAACACTTCCCGCCATTCTTCTTCCTCTACAAACATTACAGAGTTTTTAGAATCAAATTACACTCCTAATTATTGTACGTTTGCATATTTTGAATAAGTGCGAGAATTACTTCGTAAAATTTTAGTGGTTTGGAAGCTAATGACATTTAGTTATGTCCAATAGAATTTAATTTTCCATGTGTTCAGAATTCAGCTAATAAAAAAAATAAAAAATACAAAATAAAAAAATAAAACAGAAAATTATAATTAGGTGTGTGCAGGAAAGGGGCGTGAGTGGTGTGCAGGAATGCTAGGGAAGGGGGGCGTGGGTGGTGACATGGTGTGCAAGAATGCCAGGGAAGAGGGGCGTGGGTGGTGACGTGGTGTGCAGGAATGCTAGGGCGAGGGGGGCTAGTGTTCAAGCAGGAAGGTAAGTGGTAGGAGGGAGTGGGGGTTGTTGTGTATGAAAGGACTAGGTTGGTGTGTAGGAAATCCAGGAAAGGGAGGCTGGTGTGCAAGTAGGGAGGGGATGCAGGTATGTGCAGGCAGGTGGCACCTGGCAGGAGGGGGTCGGGGCAGGTGTGCAGGCAGGGAGGGGGCTGGTATGCAGGAAGGGAGGGGGCTAGTGTGCAGGCAGGGCTTGTGTGCAGGTCATAGAAAATGCAGCAACAGCAGGGAGCACTCTCCACCCACAACAACCTGCAACACTAACCACTTACAGCTGCAACAGATGCTTGTCTCATTAGTTTATTTAGTGTAGCCTTTTGAGCTCTTTGGAAAATGATAGAATGTAGTAAAGGTAGTAATTAAGGCTTGATGTGACATCATAGAGTATGGTAGTCCTATATATGGCAAGAATCAAAAGTTAAAATTAGAAAGAGTAGTTGTTACATACTATTTCTTGTCTAGTGCGACCGAAGCTTTTAGTGCCATTATAGTGAGGCATCTTCTGATGTGCCCTACTTTCACTTGCTTTTTTGCTCTTCTCCTAGAATAAAAAGGATTTAATCAATAATATACGTTAATTATATAAGAATAAAGATATACTATATGTGTATTTTACCATAACCGCCTCTTCACTCCAATAGTCAAACAAGAACTTCCATTCCACTTTAGTCAGATGACTAGGCTTATTTTTCAGACATTCTTCTTTTATTTTAAAGTTTTTATTATTAAAGTACTTTGATTTCAATTTGCTCCTAGCACCTCTGAATAAACGTTGTGCATGTTTCATAACACACTCCCGCCTATTTTCAGTGTCATCAAATGACCACTTCTCCTGCAAAAGACAAAGATAAATTAATTATTGCTCATACATCAAGTTAACAATGTTTCATTGTTAATAATAGAAAGAAAAACCCCATAAACATATTTATTATGATAACATATTACCGTGATGCAAGCCCACAAATGGTCTAATGTTTCAGATTTATAATCGTCCCAACATTTAACTTGTACCGAACATATAGCTTTATTTCGAACTTGTTGACCCAAGAAGAAAGAAAATAATAAAGCATTATCACCAATAGCAACACCATCATCGTCAAACTCCACATTCAGTTTTTCCCCAGGAGGTAACAGGGTAAGCTTTCTACAATATACCGTTCCTCTTTTTTTTAGCAGCACCTGTATCAAGCATAAGCTCACTGGGTAGTGAATTGACATGACTTGAAGCATATTGTCATATATTTATGTTTTAAGGCATAATAAAGTCAAACCTGATGAAATGTTAAGGTCCTCATTCTCTGGTACAATCATGAGTTCCTTGTCGTTCAATGGTTCAGTATCCAAAGATGCATCTTCAAGTTCAAGTTGTTGACCAATCTGTCGTCCTTCCTCGTCATAGCCCCCCTCAGCGGTGTTATTATTCTCCCTTGTTTCTCCAATTTCTTCATCGTTTTCTGTTTACATGTATAGAATAAAAACAAGTCTTTACTGAAGTGATAAGAAAGGATTGGTTTTGATTGTTGCTAAAACTCTCTAAGTGATGATATTGAATCTATAGCATCCACAAACTTTCCCATGAGTCTAGATAATTGAAATTTTACTAATTCATCACAAAACCTATAACTGATTTATTAACTGATTTATTGTTTGCTTTAATAAAAATACAGATATGTGTAATGGAATGGGTCAACGGGGATGAGGTATACGAAACTATAGTGCAAGCTTCGGGGGATAATGTGGGTGTTGGTTTGGATTTTTTGGAGGATTTAGAGGCTATTTTAGAGGTCATAGAGGCTGCCAATGCTGCCACGGACACCACAGGGGCTGCTGCGTCTGCTAGGAACAGTGCAGTCCACAGCTAGCTTGCGGTGGACAGCACTGACCGCAGCCAGCCTGCGGGTGCTCCTGCCAGCAGCTCTGCTGATCACATTTGGTATCATTGTTGAATAATAAGGGTTGCAATTTTTTTCAATATGCGCGAAATTCATAATCTGATTTTGTTCAATGTAACCAAAAATCACCTATCTAGTTCACTCATATTACATGAAATATACTCAAAAATAAAAATAAAATAAAATTGAAAACTTAGATGGTTAAATGGTTGGTGTTATGATCTAGCTGAAGGTTTGGCAGCCCGCTTTTTGACATGTATAATGAATCAACCAAGACCAAGGCCACCTATCTTGCATACATACCCAGGCGCAAACAACAACAACAAATGGGCACAAGCACACCAAGCAACCCAGAAGACAGACACCAACAACAAACAGCAGCAGGGGACAACTAATCAGAGCAGAACCACTTTTCAGAAGCTCTATTTTGGCATTTGGGAAAGAAGACAAATGTAATAGCTATTAGCAATTAAGGCTAGTCACATGTGTTATGTTGTAAGAGAGTTAAATAGCAAGAAACTTGGAGAAAGAAGGACATTCAGAAAACTTGTAGACACCCATTTGTGTCTCCCCAAAACCAAACCCGATGATGAGTACCTTTCACGTCGAATCATAATCGAATGAAGTGAAAGTGTGGAAAGTTTAGTGTTGCGGATAGTTTTAATTTCTTTTCTTTTATCTCTGTTTTTCAAAACCTATTTTAAGAAAACAGCTAATCCAGTTTGGTTGGTCTATGATATGGGTCCAATAGTAGTGTAGTTGGATAGGATTTTAAAAGAGCTTTCCAACGATATATTATAAGCCCAATTCCGATGAATATTGAGGAAGTTATGACCAAATTACTAAACTGGGCCCTGTTTGAACCTTAAATGCGGCCCAATGATCCAGGGGAGGGCCTAATATGGATTCATCATTCCTAATGTAATTAGGAATGGTTTTAGTCTTCTAGATTCTTGTAGAAGGTTCTTTTCGTTCCTAATTCAATTAGCATTGATAAATTGACTTTTGTTAGCTTTTTAAAGTTTTAATCAGAATAAAAGAGTAATTTTGAGGAAAATACGATTTTATCCTCCTGTACGGTTAAATTTTTTCTGACTTTAGAAAACGCGTCAAAAACTTGATTAGCGCCTGGCGCTAAGCTTGGCGTTTGGCGCTAGCATTAGCATCTGGCGCTAACTCCGTTTTTTCACGTCAGAACTCTAGTTCGGTTTTCTATCTTTTTGGCTGTTTTTCTCTATAAATAGCCTCCTAAAAACTCCGTTTTGAATCACCAATTCTCATCTACAATTATCAATTCCTTAATTCTCTAATTCCTTTCTCTCTCTTTTCTAAACCACGCTTTTTACAAAATTCCGCATTCACAAGACCTAGACACACCTAGCATAATTCGAAGTTGCCTTCGCCCTAGACGTGAAAGGTTTTAATTTCTGAGGGTTTTGTCCCAAATCTCTTTTTCAATAATTTAATTTACTTGTTTTGTTTATTATTTTCCTTGAAGTTACTAACGCGTGTATTTTGTTATTAGAAAGAGATACGAGGCATCCAAGTAAGTGCTTTTAATTGATTTGTTGATATTATGATATAGAAATTATGCTTAGGTTGTTATTATGATTCCTAGCGTCATGTTAGGGTATTTTGATCTTCCTAGTATCATGTTTAGGGTAATAACTAAAAAATCCTAATATCAAGTATGATTAAAAGTATGATGCTTCCTGTAGGGAATAATTTCAAGCTTTAATCCCACTAGCTTGAACCCCACTGTGATCATACACTAAAGTACGGTGGCGTCCAAAAGGGAAGAAGATAGAGCAAAAGAGTCGCCAACAAGTTTTAGGAACTTGTAAACCGTTCACGAGGTGAAGGTTACACCCCTTAACGATCCAAGAGATCGTCAACTCCATAAGGTCTAGAACCAAATAAGGTTTCGGGGATGAAGGTACAAATCCAACCTAAAAGAGATTGAACCTGCCCTAATAATAGGCCTCTACTTTATTCTGATCATATTCATGTGCGCTTTTTGACTAACATGCAATCAATAGGTTTAACCCTAAACCTGTTTAACTATGTTGGTTGAGTTTAATGCACAAATAAACTATTATTGGCGATCACTTGAATTATAATCACATTAACCCTAACAAGATTATTAATTATCTTATTAAGCGTGATTACAAGTATCAAATTCCCTTTAAACATGCATAAAGGCGTGATCAAGCAACAAAGAATAAATATCAAGCAACATAATCAATAATAATCATGAATAATAATAATAATCATAATAATATCATAATAATAATAATAATAATAATAATAATAATAATAATAATAATAATAATAATAATAATAATATTCATAATCATCATAAATTATAACAATTATAATCATAATCATGTTCATGATAATATTAAAGCATAATAATAGCAAGATCCTAGGCATGATACTAACAAGATTAATGACAAACCCTAGCATGTCTCTAAGCAATAAAAATCAAATCTTTAACTCTAACATGATACTAGCAATCATAAATATTAGGAAGAATATAGGAAGCATCGCAGGAATCATATTTAATATTAAAATTACCCTAGACATGATACTAGGAATATCATAAGAACAATGTAAACATGATCTCTACATCACAATATCAATTAAAACCATTAAAGCACTTACTTTGATGCCTCGTACCTCTTTCTAATTACAAAATACACACGTTAGTAAATTCAAGGAAAACAATAAATCAAACAATTAAATTAAATAATTGAAATAGAGATTTGGGACCAAACCCTCAAAAATTAAAACCTTTCACGTTTAGGGCGAAGGCAACTTCGAATATGGCTAGGTGTTTTTAGATCTTGTGAATGCAAAATTTTGTATGTAAAAAAAGCAAGTTTAGAAAGAGAGAAAAAGAGTGAATAATCAAGAAAATCTTGATGAGAGTTGGTGAGAATTGGTGATTGCGAATGAAAACTGATTGTAGGTGAATGATGGATGTAGATGATAATTGATGAATGAAAACGGAGTTTTTAATACGATATTTATAAAGAAAATCAGCCAAAAAGATAAATTAAACAAAACAGAGTCTGACGCATAAACACAGAGCTGTCGCCACCCTTGGCTAACTGGCGCCAGACGCCAACACTAGCGCCAGGCGCCAATGGCTAGCGCCAGGCGCCAGGCCTGGTTCCAGGCGCCAAGGCCTGGGGACAGACGCCAAGCTTAAATTTAACACGTTTTCAAAAATCAGATAAGTTTGCCGTACTGGAGGATAAAATCATATAATTTCCTCGAAAATGCTATTTGATTTTAATTAAAACTCTGAAAAGTCAAAAGTCAATTTATCAATGCTAATTGAATTAGGAATAAAAAGAACTTTCTAGAAAATTCTAGAAGACTAAAACCATTCCTAATTACATTAGGAATGATAAATCATATTAGGCCCTCCCCAAGATCATTGGGCCGCATATAAAGATCAAACCGGGCCCAGTTTAGTAAATTGAGCATAACTTCCTCAATATTCATCGGAATTGGACTTATAATATATCGTTGAAAAGGTCTTTGCAAGCCCCATCCAACTACACTACTATTGTACCCATATCATGGACCAACCAAATTGTATTGGCTGTTTTCTTAAAATAAGTTTTCAAAAACAGAGAGAAGAGAAAAGAATTAAAACTTTCCGCAAACACTAGACTTTCCACACTTTCGCTTCATTCGATTATGATTCGACGTGAAAGGTACTCATCACTGGGTTTG